GGTATGAGTTTTGAAAAGATCGAATATTTGAGGAAAAATTATCCTAAGTTTTAATGAAATGCGAATGTTCGCGTGATCGGACTTGAGGACATGAAGTCAACAAATTTAATCGTTTTTCCCTTGGATTTAGGCGTAAACAGAATAATCATGTAAATATGAAATGATTAAACAGAAAAATTATGCGGATAATGATATATAACAATCAAATAAAAGACTAAGTGTGTGAACATGCGTTTTTTATATTTTTGTTTAATAACGCAAGAGAATTAATAAAAATAGTTCTTTTTTTAAGTTTTTTATTATATGTATTTTTAATATGGATAAAGCAAGAGAATTATCTAAAAAATAAAAATATTTTTTTTTAGTTCTTAAAATTCTATTTTTTTTATATTTTTGTATTAGTATTAATATAAAGTATTTATTTAGTAAATAGATCTAAACCATATTAAACTTTAAAGGTTATTGATTAAACCTAATGAAAGTAATATTCAAAATTTCTAAATTAATTCTAAAGTGAAATTAACAAAAAAATGGTCTAATATTGAACTTGTTTTAATTAAATTACAACTATTTGATTAAATTACTAATTACTAAATTAATAAAAATCTAAAAAGAAAGAAATAAAAGAAAACAATAGAAAGAAATATTAAAGAAAAAAAAATGGTGGATAATAGAGTTATGGGCCAAGAGGGTTTTTTAAAGGGGTCTAAATCAAAAACAGAAATATGGGGGGGTGTGAATGGGATTCACTTGGGCTTAGGCAGGGCATGAGTTAAGTCCAATATGTTTCATAATTTTGTTTCAAGGTTAAACACGTTTTGACTTAGTTGAATTAGGGTTAAACGGATTAGTAACGAGCGGCGCACATCTTCATCGTTCACGCGTCTGTCTTCTTCGCCTTCTTCTCCTCCCCTCGCCTCTGAGTCTCTTGCCCGAGCCACCAATATGTCCAAGCTTCTGACCTCCCTTTGCCTGAGCCACCAACGTCCCTTCTTCCCAAGCGTCGCTCCGTGAAACGGTGTAGAGGTGATGATTCGTTCTTACAGTATATTAGGCTTTATGATTTTTTGTTGCATGTTATGATTTTGTTCATTTTTGATTCTGACTCTATCTTTTACATGGAATTTCTGTTGAAACGGTGAAAAGGAAAGGAGAAGAACGAGGTTACCTTTATGGAGGAGGAAAGAAGGGCGTTCTGGAGGCTTGGTGGCGGAGGAGCGAGCGTGGTGCTGTGGCTTGTTCCCGGTATTTCGTTCCTTTTGTGATGAAATCTTCTGTTGCTTTTGAATGCTTATTGATATGTTCAAGGATGAACCTTTGGGTTCTGAGAATTTGTTGCCTTTGATTGCATGCTTTTTCCTCTTCTTCTCTTGCTACTGTTGCTTTCAGTTGCCTTGGACGTTTGAATGCTACTGTTGAAAAAAATATTTTTTGACTAGTTTCTCTTCTTCTCTTTCTGTTGCTTGCTACTGTATGTTTTTTCTAAAAAAACCTATGATGATGTATTTCTGAGGCTGGATGGTATTAGACATTGGTTGGACAGTTTTGTGATTAAGGTTGATGGTGTTTGAGGCTTTTACAGGTTTCTTAGGCCATTATGCTTGACTATGCCATTTTGTTTGGTATGAGGCTAGAAGTGAATCATTGGTGGTTATTGATGGTTAATGGCTTTTGTTTGACAGCAGTTTCTATGGTTTAGGCCAAGGTTGTTTTGTTTAGGCCATAAGGTTTTGGTTTTTACGGTTTATGCAGGTTGGCATTTGAACTGTTTTTGTGGTTTTAGGCCAAGGTTTTGGATAATACAGGTTTATTGGTTTTGATATGGTTTGATGTTTGATGGTTTGTATGGTGTTTATGCTGGTTTGGAATGGTTTAGGACATGTTGGTTTGGAATGGTTTAAGACATGTTGGTTCTACTGGTTTATGCAGTAGGCTATGGTTTTTACTGGTTTTTATGCAGTAGGCTATGGTTGTGTATATTTTTGAAAATTGCTATATGGTTTTTGGTTTATGGGATAATCGGTTCTGGCTTTTTGAGAGCTTGGTTACTGGTTTTGTATTGTGTTTTTGACAACTTTTTTGTGTTGGAGCCTTGAAGGTGGATGTGTTGTATTTTTGAATGGATTGATAATAATATATCAGTTGGTTCTGCCTCCTTTGTTTTTTGCTACAGGTTGTACATCTTGGTATCTTTCTTGATGCCCTGCACCATACTGCTCCAACAGTTTGTTTGTATTCCTTTTTCATGCTTTCTTATTTCTTATTACAATACTGCTGATTTGTTTTGTAACTCCTTCTGCCTAAACCAAAACCTGTAAAACCAAACTTCTATCTCTCTTTTCTCTCCTCAATGCAAATTTGACATAAAAATGATATGTTGCATTTGTTCTGAAAAAGCAATACTGCTGGAAAAATGATGTAAATGGAAAGATTTCATGCTTGCATATATTGATTTGAACTGCATATTTGCTCTTTGACTTGCAATGTAACAGTAGGAGCCTATTGTATTTTGGCTTCTTCTTATATTTGCATGGTTTACGTTGGCTTTGTCTTACAAATGCATATGCTGGTGATTTTTGTATGCTGTGTATATTTTGAAATATGCAGTTTTTTGACAAAAAGAAATTATGCATATTTGAAATATGCAGTTGGCTTTTTAATTATGCAGTTTTGAAAACAAAAATGAATTTGTGCATCTTTTTAAATTGTGCATTCATTTCTGAAAATAAAAATCCATCCCTTTTTGTGAACCGGGAGAAATCCCGCGATTTGCAAAAAGGGTAAAAACTGATTCCGGCCGTTTGCTTTTAATGATGAACACTAAAAAAATAATTTTTTTGCTTTTAATTATTTATTTCTGACTTCTTTTCTTTAATTCTTTGCAGGTAAAAAAAAATCAAATGAGCAATTGGATAGAAGATGAAGATTTAGAATATTAGAAAAATAGTTTTTATTTTACTTTAAACTTTTTATGTAATTGTCATTATAAATATTTTGTAAATAATACAATATTTAAATAACAATTGTAATAAATAGAATAAAGTGAATAAAATTCTATTATTTCCCAATTAATTCTTTTTCTTTCCAATTATTTATTTATCGTTTATAATTCTTTAAATTATAATAATTAAAAATCAATTTCAATTACTTAAATTCAGAATAATAAACAAATAAATAAACATCATTGATCAATTAATAACTCCAATTATTTAATTCATTATTCATAATTCTCTAAATTATAATAATTAAAAATAGAATTTCAATTATTTAACTTAGAATGATAAATAATTAAATAATCATTGTTGACCAATTAATAAACCTCTTTCCAAATGTTTATTTCATTATTCATAAATCTTTAAATTATATAATAACCGAAAATAGATTCCAATTATTTAAATTTAAGATAATAAATAATTAATAAACATTGTTTGATCATTGATCGATTAATAAATTCAGCGTTCAAAAATAAACAGCTCTCGACCTGAAAAAGTTATGAATTTTTAAAAATCAATAGATCAAAACGCTTGCAATGTAATGATGCAGATGAGAGATGGTATCTTAGGTCAAAATTTGGGGTACAACAGGTCCCTTGAGCATCACCATAACCATCACCCCTAAGGATTTCTTATAATTCTATGTAGTCTTGTGTCATCATTATCGCGCAACCGTAATTGAATCGTTGCTCATATTATTGTAGTTTGATTATGTTGTTTAGGTTAATGGGGTTATTGGTGAGTAGTCTTGTCGATTGAATGACGACATTGGTGTGAGTTTTTTATTGAGAAAAGGAAGAAATGATTGTTGTGGTCTTGGGTAACTATATGATTGTTGGGTGTTTTGGTGTTGTGATGTTTGAGTGTTTTGGCTATGGTAGGAAATGTTGATGTCATATGTTTCTTAGGTGTTTTGATTATGGTAGGAGGATATGTTGGCGGCCTATATTTGTTGGGTGTTTTGATAATAATCATGTGGTTGTTGGTGGTATGAGATATGCTCTTGATTTTGTGGTTGGATGTGTGACATGTATTGGTTATATGTTTGGGTGTTGTGGGTTGATAATTTTGTTGGATAAAGAGTTATGTGTAATAGGTTTGGTAATTTTGTTGGAGGTTAGATGTTGAATCTTATTGTCTGTAAGTGGTTTAATAATTTTGTCGCGGGTTAGATGTTAAAATTTGTTGTGTGTAAGTGGTTTGACGTGGAGTCGTATAAATATCTATTTTGGAGAAAAATCCAATTGTAATTGATCTATATACCAGTACATATAATTAAAAGTTGGTTTAGATTTGGTTGATATGATAGTGTCGGTTAAGACCAGTTGATGATAGCGCCTATTAACACCGATTGATGATATCACTTCAATTGACAACACTCATCGTTAGCGAAGTCTCTCAAATCGTCAAAATTCTATTATTTCGAGACTTTACATTGATACCATTATTCCATGCACCATAAAACTATCTACTTAATTGATAACTATGCATGATTATTATAGACTTTAGGAACGCAAATTTTAACCCATAACATTTTACTTATTTATTTTTAAAATATAAAATTTTAATCATTGAATTAGTTGACCATTTTTTTCTTCTAATAGTGTAATAAAGACTAGAAAGAGTATAAAAATCACATACAAACAAAATAAAAATATTAGTTAAGGTTTGTAACCGAATTATAATTACATGAAAAATGCTAGAAAACGGGCAAAAGATGGTTAACTTAACTTTATAGCAGAACTTTCAGCTTTGGGTACAAAGTATTGAAGTAACTTTGTGTTCTTGTTTTCTTCAACCAATAACACCGCCGAACGCGGAATCGCAACAACGACAACACGTTTCTCTTTTTTATTTTTTTAAAAGGAAAAAAAACACCGCCTGAATTCGACGACGGCGATCGCAACTAACTTTAACCTCTCAGATCACCATCAACGTTCAGAAGCGGCGATTCGGATCCACCGAAATCCGAAACTATCCGCTTAACTTTATTCGGATCTCTTCCACATGCTTCGTGAAACTATCTTGATTTTCCTATTCCTGTTGTACTTCGGTTATGCAGATCCTGCTCCGAAATGCGCCCGGGGCAGTTCTTTTGTCGATTTCGAATCCGACTTTGTTATGGTTCAGCATCAGCTCAGAGGCCACATCAAGATCATTGATGATTGTTCTTTTAGGGTTTCACAATTTGATATGCTCTCCGGCGTCGATGTGCGTCTGTGGAGTGCACTCGCTCCTGATTTCGATAACCTCACCACCGGATTCGTCGTTTCAGATTACAAGCTTAATCAGACGTACGCGAATTTCACCTTTGTTGTTCAATTGATGGAGAATATCACGTGGGATATGATTCCTGTTCTTGCTGTTTGGGATGTTCCGACTGCATCCGATTTTGGTCATGTTCTGATTCAGAATCTCACCTCTACGGAGACGCCCGGGAGCGACGGAGAAAAGAAAGAGAATGTTAGTGTTCATACAGAGCCGACTATGTTTGATAATTGTAAGGTTATGTCGAAGGAGTTCAGGGTTCGTTGGAGTTTGAAACCGGAAGAGGATATGGTTGAGATTGGGTTGGAGGGTGCTACCGGTGTTATGAATTACATGGCTTTTGGTTGGGCTAACCCTAATGCCACTGATGCAGAGCTCATGGTTGGGGCTGATGTGGCAGTTACTGGGTTTAAGGAAGATGGTTTGCCATTTGTGGATGATTTCTTCATCACCAAGTATAGTGAGTGTTTGAAAAACAGTGAAGATGGAAGTGTTGAAGGGGTTTGTCCTGATTCAATCTATGAAGGGCCTAATAGAGTTGGCTTGGTGAATGATACAAGGTTGATTTATGGTCATAGGAGTGATGGGGTTTCCTTGGTTAGATACAAGAGACCTTTGAGTCCGGTTGATGCCAAATATGATCTCCGTGTTGATCGATTTGCTAACATGACTGTTATTTGGGCTTTGGGAAAGATTAGAGCTCCTGATACTGTTTTGCCGTATTATCTTCCGCAGAATCATGGGGGTCTTCCGTTTGAATCTTTTGGCCATTTGGTTCTCAATGTTTCTCAGCATGTCAATGATTGTGAAGGTCCCTTGGATGCTGCTGATAAAGAGGATCAAGATATCATCATTGCTGATGCGAAAGTTCCTTTGGTTGTTTCAACTGGCCCGGCAGTGCATTACCCTGACCCTCCAAATCCACCCAAGGTTATTTACATCAACAAGAAGGAAGCTCCTGTGTTGAGAGTTGAAAGAGGGGTGCCGGTCACGTTTTCCATACAGTCCGGGCATGATGTTGCGCTTTATGTTACTTCGGACCCCATTGGGGGGAATGCCACTCTGAGGAATCTGACCGAGACTATTTATGCTGGAGGTCCTGATGCTCATGGAGTTCAGGCCAGTCCCACGGAGCTAATCTGGGCTCCTGACAGGAACACTCCCGATCAGGTCTACTATCATTCAGTGTATGAGAAGAAAATGGGTTGGAGAGTAGAGGTTGTGGATGGGGGTCTATCTGACATGTATAACAACAGTGTTGTTCTTGATGATCAACAGGTTACCTTCTTTTGGACACTGTCAAAGGATTCAATATCTATTGCAGCTCGCGGTGAGAAAAAGAGTGGTTATCTTGCTATAGGATTTGGCAGTGGAATGGTAAACAGTTACACTTATGTGGGATGGGTTGATGACAATGGTGTTGGTCGTGTTAACACTTATTGGATTGATGGACAGGATGCCTCAGGTATACATCTTACAAATGAGAATTTGACACATGTGAGATGCAAAACAGAAAACGGCCTTATTACTTTGGAATTTACGCGTCCCTTGGTTCCATCTTGTAGTAGGGGCAAGAGACCAGAATGTAACGACATCATTGATCCCACAACCCCACTTAAAGTCATATGGGCAATGGGTAGTAGATGGAGTAATGGACATCTTAGTGAGAGGAATATGCATACGCTTACTAGTACCAGGCCTATATTAGTTCAACTGATGCGTGGTTCTGCAGAAGCAGAGCAGGATTTACTTCCAGTTTTGGCTGTGCACGGTTTCATGATGTTTCTTGCATGGGGCATCTTGCTTCCAGGAGGTATATTGGCGGCCAGGTACTTGAAACATTTGAAGGGCGGTGGTTGGTACAAAATTCATGTTTACATGCAATACTCAGGGTTATCAATAGTTTTTCTTGCACTTCTTTTTGCGGTTGCTGAGCTTCGCGGTTTTCATGTTAGCTCAACACATGTTAAATTTGGAATTGCTGCAATATTTTTGGCTTGCATACAACCAGTTAATGCATTCCTTAGGCCCCCAAGACAGTCAAATGGGGAGCAGGCATCATATAAAAGGATTATCTGGGAATACTTGCATATAATTGTTGGCAGATCTGCAATTGTCGTTGGTATTGCAGCACTTTTTACTGGCATGAAGCATTTGGGAGACAGATATGCTTTGGAAAACGTCCATGGACTCAGTTGGGCAATGATAATTTGGTTCTTAGTAGGTGCATTGAGTATTGCTTATTTTGAATACCGCGAGAAGCAGAGAGTCAGAGATCAGATATTTGGAAGAGGCAATTGGGTGCTCGGTAATGAGGAAGATGATTCCATGGATCTCTTGAGTCCACAAAATATACATGCAACAAATAAAGAGTCACAAGCCACCGCAAGATTGGAAATCCAGTTAGAACCTTTAAACAGGTAGATAGATGCATATTTTAACTTGCCATTGAAAGCCTCCATTCTGCTGCAGTTTTTGGCAAATTCCTCATTTAATCCGAGCTTTCAGGATTATTCATCATAAGTTATGAGGGTTGAGGCATTTTTGAGGTGTAAAGGGAGCACTTGTTCATCAGTCTCTTTGTACTGATGTAGCCATTTTGTGAAGAGAGTAGCTTTCTCATAGTTTATATACATGTTCACTAGATAGGTTATATCTCTTGTTCAATCTAGCTGCTATACTTTTTTCTTCCCCAGCGGAAACAAAAACAAGAAATCAAAGTTTACGAAGTGAAAGATTTATTGTCTGTTAATGTAGGTTCTGTTCCATTATCGTAGGTGTAATTCAGACATTGAAGGGCTATCCAGCCAAAAACATTGTTGTAAATTATGCGATGCAGATAACTGATACAACATAACGCCATTAGTTTTTTATTTCAATGCAATTGTCTTAAGTTGGTCATGGAGAGTTTAAACCCTGTCTTAAGTTGGTCGTGGAGAGTTTAAACCCTACTTTATAAAAAAATATGTTTGAATGCACATTAGCATGTCTATTGTTGCGTCTCAATGCATTTTTGCATTTTTTGGTTGTGGAAATATAGAAGCAAGAAATCAGAAATTTCAATGGAATACAATGATAGTAACAGAGGCTATATATAAGCATTCAAGTATAGCATTGATATGCAAAAATTTCAAACCAACAAATAAAGGACATGAAAACTAATCTAATAGATATACTTCCCAAAAGAAAAGAAAAACCGAAATTGAAAGACAATTCCATAATCAAATTAAAGATTCACACCCAAACTGATACACTCCCTAAAAGAAAACAAAAAAACAACCTAAATTGAAAATCTATATAATTAGGGTTTAGTTATTAATTCCTATAACAGAAATTGAAATTCCACAAATTTCTTTCACTCCTCGGGTTCAATGTCCTTGCCAATAAAACTCCAGGCATTCTTCTCACGGACAGCCGCCTCTTCCTCCGGCGTGAAATCGTTCTCGATCCCAAAATACTCCCGGACGTAACGAACGCTCCTATTCTCGATCCGATCAGCAACCGCCTGAGTAAGAAACTCGAAAAGCGCTTCCATGTTCAGATAATGCACTGCGAGAAGAAAATCCTTCAACTCTTCGTTATCCAGTTTCTCGACGGAGAATTCCTTGACTTTACCGTCGTCAGAGAGACGATGGTATTCCATGATCATCGTCATGTGGTTGCTGGAAACATTGGGAAGAGGAATGACGGAGAGTTTAACGCCGTCTTCATCAACGAGAGGATGCAAAGCCTTCATGTTCTTTACCAATGGTGGTTCGATTTCGAAAACGACGTCGTCGCAGGTTTTGAGAGTGATTAGTTTCTCTATTAGGTTCTCCATCGCTTCCTTTCTCACTAGGGTTTGGGTTGTATTGTGAATTTTTCAATGTATTCATATTTATAGAAGAAAAATTATTTGATTTCTGAATTTTAATTTTATTATTTCAAATATCAGAAGAAAATCTTTTTGAAAAAAAAAATCTGTTATTCCTTTTTAATCCTTTTTAATAGAAGAAAAATATATGATTTTCCTAGTTTATTTTATTAATTGGCAAATCACAACAAAATCTCAAATTTTAAGTTTATTATTTCAAATATCAGAAGAAAATCTTTTTGAAAAAGAAAATCCTCTATTCCTTTTTAATTGAAGAAAAAATATATGATTTTTCATATTTGTTTTATTAATTGCCAAATCATAACAAAATCTGCGAAAATTCTTAGATACACATGAACCTAGCACGTAGTTTTATCAATAGATAATCACAATTTTTTATTATTTAAAATATAAAATAAAAATTTCTCACTTAAATTAAATTTTAAATAAATTAAATATTTTTAAAGATATAAACATATGTTTGTTTTCATACAAATATTTCTCCAAAATCTGTTATTCTTTGCAATAAAATAAATAAATTAATATACAAATAATTTTTTATTACTATTATAGATAAATACTCTTTAAAGTTCAAGTAATATAAAATAAAATGAATTTTAAGTAATAGAAGTCAACGTATTACTTAGCAACATAAGAAAAAAACATAATTGTTAAAGATATGTATAATTAGTAATTATATTTATTTTTAAAGTTAGTGAAAATATAGTTGTTAGAGATTAATTAGTATGTATTATCGTTATAAAAAATTTATACTATCAATATATCATAGTCATTCAAATAAATTATTTTAATAGAAATTGAAATAAAAATTAAATATTTTTAATAAATTAACAACTGTGATTTATTGAATGTGTAAAGACTTTTAAAAGATTTGTGTATTTCAATTAAATTCTAATAATTATTAAAAAATGTTAATAATGAGATTTAATTTAAATTATGATCTTTAAAATTTGTCTCGACATTAATAATTATATTAAATTATATATTAAATTTTAATATTTATACAAACTTTTAATTTAAAAGCTGAAACAAATTTTTTTTTTGGTTAACAAAATGAATGCATCGTTGATATAATCTTACATGGTAGAAACACATAACAAATTGTTGTAGTTAGGGTTATGGATTACTTTGGATCAAATTAGTCATATTGATTAGATATAGATTTATCTCTTATCCGAATATGGACATTGTTTTCATTACTTAAAAAGCTAGCAATACATGAGTCAGTTCTAAATTAACTTTCATTGTTCGATTTGGGGTGAGTTTGACAAAATTGACTGGATTATCCAATCCATATATAATTCAATTAAAATAGATCTAACACAAATCTAATAAAAAATAACTTAAATAAAAAGCATGAAATCATTGAAGTTTCTAAAAAATGCAGTTTAAGAGTGAAAATAAGATAATAACTTTAATCATTGTGTAGGATGGTGTGGAATCTTGTTTTGAAGGTAATAGATTTTCTTTTAATGATGACAACCGTGAAGAACAGAAGATGATGATAACTGTGAAGAAGAAAATAAATAGATATTCAACATGATAAAGATACAACATAAAGACAACTGCAAAAAACCAGAACATATAACATTCAACATAATAAAGACGCAACCATTAAGAAAATCAACCAATAAACTTTAGCAGTTAAAGATGTAAGTCACGAGGTTTGATAAGAATTGACAAGTTTCAGACACCAACAAAGTTACAAAGTTTCAGATAAGACAAATAAACAGATTGCATCAAAAGCCTCAAAAGACATCTTGAGCAAGGTCAACACAATGAATATATCAGACAAAGACTTAGAGGAGTTAATCTCTCAAATTAGTAAATGAGTGAAAGTTTTGTAAAAGCAAAAGTTATTTCTTTGTAGAAGTAGTTCGCTATAAGTACACACAAATTTAAAACTTAAAAAAAAAATGAAAAGAAAAAGATTTGAAGAAATATATAGAAGTTGCATAGAAAAAATAACAACATTTAAAAAGCCAAAAAAATATTTTTGATCGAATCTAATCGATTATAACAAAGTGCCAATCGATTAGATTAGCGCGTTCTTGAGGAACAAGACAATTTGAATGCACTCAAATGATTAGCAACTACTATATATCACTTCTTACCTATTTTGGAACTCATAGCCGTTATTTTTAAATTACCTAGTCGATTGGTTTAATAAATTAACAACATTCATTTGTGCTTTAGTGAAGTTTCCTCTTTTGGGGATTTTCAAGCCTATAAATAGAGGTCTCATTCCTCATTTCATTTCATCCAAAATACGATTTATATATTGACATACACACACTCTCTCTAAGTATTTATTTTCACTTTCTCTCACTAGTTCTTATAGCCAAATATTTTTGTGAGGAAAGATTTTTTGTGAGTGAGGTGTTCATGTAAATCTGGTTGGGTAGCATTGTATAAATTCTCCAAGAATGTTGTTTATGCACCTTGGATGAACACCGTCCATTTAAGGATAAAAAATATGAGGTTAAAAGCTTTGGTTGGAGATTGTGTGATCAATTCCTATGTTTATTTAGGTTGAAGATCATTAATGTTGACGATCTTCCCTTAAGGCTCTTAGTAACCCTTGTTCATTTGAAGGTTGAAGATTATCAATATTGATGAACTTACCATTAGAATCATGGTTAGCCCGGTTAAAGCCATAAGTTAGAAGATCAACTTGTTAAAATATCAAGAAGTTATTGGTTATCCTGTTAAACCAAATTGAGCTCAGTTATTTTATGGGGAGAAGATTAATCCCTTAAATCTGTAGTTGGGAAGGAAGCTTGGACACTTCACTTAAATAATCATATATGTTGTCTTGTAATATTTTGGTTGTAGGACAATCACCATTTCCTTGTATAAAAGAATTCACGAGCTTTACCTATTAAAAACTCTTAAGTATATAATAGAAACTCTCAAGATCATTTTTTTGGGAGAGAAGTAAGTCGCTTTTATTATGACCGAACCTCTATAACTCTCAGTGTTTTTCTTCTTCTCCTAACTCTTTTATTTTCACACTTTATATATTTATGTTATGCTGCTTAGATATAGAAAAATGTTTTTCAAACTCTGATTTTAATCTCAAAAAGTTTTCAAAACCATGTTTTTCTAAACCACGCAATTCACCCCCCCCCCCCCCCCCCCCCCCCCCCCCCCCGCCCCTCTTATTTTTGAAGTATCAAGTCCAACAAGTGGGCATCATAGTTTAACTCATGTTTAAGGACTAATTGTCTCAGAAGGAAGATGACTTCCAACATAAGATTCTTTTTCAAAACTCACCACCACCTTTTTTAAAATTTATTATTTCTTTTATATACATGAGTTTTATTCAAAATAATAACTTTTTTCTCAGAAACTTATTCAATGATTTGTTTTACCCTACTCATCAAGTTAATGATGAAGAAGTGGAAAAACCTTATCTTGTCTACGGACCGAAGAAGAAAAGAAAAATAGATATAGATTTCAAATCTAAAATTTTATAATCTTTTTGATGTTTATCATTTCAAAGTGCCAGGAAAATGTAGGACACTTTAGAAAAGATATATGAAATCTCTCCAAGTATCAAGCCAGAGGATATGAATACATGAGGCAAAGAAATTTCTTTCTTAAATTTTTTTGGATTATTGTTACTAACGTTTATCTAGAGAATTTAAAATTGGAAAATATTTCCAACTCCTAAAAATTTAAATAGAAACCTTCATGAACTTAATACAAACCAAGAGAAGGAAATTATAGAAGTTAATGAAATCAAAAGATTAAATTGGAAGATCATCACTCATATCATACTATATTCTAGTTCAATGAACATTAATCAAGGAATTCTCATGTTCAAAGAACAACAAAGAAGATGAAGAAGTTTCTTCAAACAGTTGAACAAAGGATGGAAGATTGCAACCTTGGGGAGAAATATAAAAAAATCATCCTCCAACGAAGAAGATAACACATGCTCAAAGGCACCATACAAGGAAGTTAGGAAATAGAAAGAAAAATCCGAATAACATATTTACTTGTTTTGCAGGAAATGTAGTCTAGAGAAAGATCATACAAAAACAGAAGTATACTCCAGAAGTATACATTTTAAGTCTTTGATCCTGGAAGATAAATGATGTTAACAGTTATGATCAAAGCAAACACCATTAGAGAACTTCTCAACTTAATAATCTGTGATGATCAATAAAGTAAATAAGTCTGTGATGGACTTATTTATCATTTGTTCACCAACTCTTTAATCCAATGATTGTGGAGAAGGATACACTATTAAGGTGTCTTCCCTAAGAGAATTTTATCAAAAAAAATTCTTGATACATGTAAAATTATTTTAAGGTTGAAATAATCAGTTAATCTGATTAGCCCCTTAAAATAATAAATTTTCAATTCTTTCATGTTTTGAAAAAATATTTTTATTATATATTTTTTCAAAATTGATCATTTATAACCTACAAAAATAAGTATGTTCAAATGTATCTAAGCATAGGGATGTCAAAAGCATGAGTAAGAGGTGATAAAAAAAGCCACCCAAAAGGCTCAAAGACAAGAAAAAAGCAAAAAAGGAGAAAAAGGAAGTGTTAATCGATTGAAATAATCGATTAAATGATTCAAAATGGTGAAAATTCGAAAGTTGGACAACTCCCAAATAGATAGTTGGAGAATTAAATGTTGTAACGGATACTTGCAACGAAAAATTCTCAAATATGATTCTTCTTAATCGATTGATCCAATAAATTAAATGAAGGATATATAAAGATGTATGTTTTCATTCTTCTTTGCAACATCATTTCTCACTTCTTACTTGCATAAAAAAAAAATACTTTTTAGGTTCTCAAATCATCATCTTCTTCAAAAATGGCCCAAAAAAGAACCTATTCTTCCCAACCATTACCATCCTACTTCTCCGAGGATTTCTAAAACCTAGATCAAAAAACCAACTTCAACATTTACTACTCACTTCC